TAACAGCGCAAATCCCACTCATGATGACTCCACGCTCATGAACTAATCACCCTCCAAAGGTCCCACCTCCCAATACCATCATCTGTGGGGGTTAGGATTTCAACATATGGAATTGGGGGGGGACACAAGCATTTAGACTACAACACTTCCCTTCTAGTTACGGGCACTCAAAAACGTCTTATGTCTATGAAAGCTTCACTATTCCTTAAATTAAGTTGCAAACTTTGCAGGGCTGTGTGGAGATACTTGCTGATCGATTACTGGGCTAGTAATCAAATTGACATGAGACAGATCAGCAAGAGAAAATGACCAAATTGAGTTACATATATATGAGAACTCTACACACGAGAGAGTTGGAGACCCCCACATGCAGGGGAGGTTCAAAGGCAGAAAGGGAAAATGAGGTGCATATGACCTTCTGAACTAATGACCACCTTGGGGCTTCAGAGGGGAGGAAGGTCATTGCAGGACTATAAGGAGAGCAGATATTCAGTAATTAGAAGTTTGTTCAACACTATAGATAGGTTAAAAAAAGAGATGATCTTTGATAATCTCTTATTATGAGCAAGATCCCTAAATCAAATTCTTCCAGATAATTAAAGGGGGGCAGAAGGGTCTCTGCTGCCTTTAGCTCAGAACAACCCACACCACAGAGGCACATTTTGGGGCGATTCATTCTAAACCCAAACAGGACAGATTCTTAAATGTTTATTTTGCTCTAAAAGCAACCCTATGTAAATCCTTTGGTGAAGAGAAATATTTCCCTCTTCCAAAACTTAGATTTAAACATCAAAGTGGTGGTTATTTTTTTTTTCTACACTGATTGAGCCTTTCTTATGAGCCTAGTACTACACTGAGCAGTTTACATAGTTTTCTCACTGTGGTACAACCTGTTGTTATCCTTTGTCCACAGATGGGGAGAGAGAAGGTGTAAGGAACTCCCATCACAGAGCAGGTGAACAGCAGAGCTACGATTTGGTTCCAAGTCTGTCTGACTCCAAAGCTCATAACGTACTAACCGCTATGCTACTCTGCCTCTTGAGCTTTCCTCAAGTGAGTGCAGAATTAAAATGATCCAGAGGTGGGTCTTAATAAACAAGCTGTGTTATTAGATGTTATGGTGAGGCTGGCGTTCTTACCACTCCCTGGACTGGTGCCAGGAGCAGACGGACCACTTTGCCGGAAGAGCAAGTGGCACTTGGGAGAAATCGCGGAGGTGCCACCCAGCAGGTCGAAGGGCACAGCTCCGAGAGCTGCTCCTTCTAAGTGGGCTGTGGCTCCCAGCGCCACTGAGTATTTCTGCCCGTCGACAGCCCGTTCAAAGTGGTCTTCGCTTTTCTTCTTCCCATGTCTTGCCTCTATCAGGAAAAAGAGTAGTCACCTAAGTTAAGTTCTTCAAGTTAATGTATTCTAGAAAGGTTTGAGGGACAAAATGCGTCCTTTTGGGAACCTCTGAGTTACAGTGTTGCAAATATATGTATTACAAAGTGTAAAGAAGAACCTCCGTGTTACAAAGTGTCGCAAATATACATATTATATAAATTCACCGAATCATAGTTTTACACACATATTTATATTATGGTCTATATACACTTACATATAAATATTTATATATAGTTCTATAAAATAGAAATAAAAATAGATACATATTTCTATGTAACTTTATATCTTATATATAGAATCAGAGTTAGCTAGTGAAAACATTTTTCTTAAGTGCATTTTGTTGGCCATTCCTAAAGTCAGGAGAGGCCCTGGGTGGGTGCTGCAGACTCAGCTCCCTCCTGTGGTCCCCCAACCACGGGCTAGCTGGTTCCCCCCACTGCCCTGCTGGGGCAATGACATAATTCTTGTTATCTGCCCAGATACATTTCTGCTGACCTCAGGTTTTTGTTTCAGTCGTGAATGACGGGGACGTGCAACCAGCAGGGAATGCCGCAGCCCCGAAGTCCGGTCGTGCCCCAGAGGCCTTCCTCTCTCAGTGGGCTGTTTTGCTGGCTGTCATATTGCATGTTTCAGCGGTTTTGAAGACAGCATAAGGCAGACAAGGGGACAGGGGCGGTGCCTGGCTTGACTTGTATATTAGTGTGCCTTCTGTGATTCCAGGGTGATTCTCGTACACTTGTGCTGTAATAATACTAACACTAGCACGCTTACGATGGTGTGGGGGCCTCTGGACCACTACCCGTTCTTCCTCCTGCCCAGTCTCTTCCTCCTCACCCTGCATCTTCACTTTCTCCCTGTTGGTTAACATTTATTGAGTGCCTCCTATGTGCCAGGCGTTGTCATAATCACTTTTCAGTGGTTCTCAACTTTCCTAATGCCGCGACCCTTTAATGCAGTTCCTTATGTTGTGGTGACCCCCAAACATAAAATTATTTTTGTTGCAACTTCATACGTGTAATTTTGCTACTGTTATGCCTCAGGTGACCCACAGGTTGAGAACCGCTGCCTTACACCTATTAACCCATTGAATCCTATTATTTCTTCCCTTTTATTTATTTATTTTGGCAGTGAAGAAAACTGTCTAGCTCAATTGTGACACAGCACAGCTGTGTGGTGGCCCTGGGGCCAGGCCCCTCTTTGGCTACACAGCTCTGGTCTGCTCCTTGCCAGTCTGCTTTGTATCACACTGGTCTGCTCTGGCCGGTGCCAGTCTGCTCTGCTCTGCTCCCAGGAGACACCTTGGGTGTTTTAGCTCAGCCCAGGAGTCGCAGTCGTTAGTCTTTGGTGGAGAGAGACCCTGTGCCCAGCGCCAGAGGGGAGCTGGCTTATAGGAACAAATACCCCCGCTCCTGGTCCCTGATGGGTCCATCCTCATGCAAATGAGGACTCCAGATTCTGCAGTCTGATTGGTCCAAAAGGCAATGTCCAGATTGGTCAGATTAGAACGCCTCTGATTAGTCAAAGCTGTGGAAATGCGGTTGGATGGGGAACCTCAGTCCTGCTGTTTGAACTAGGGTGACAGGAACTCCCTTGTAGGGCTGGCTCTGATCTGAAGCCCACTGCAGGCAGGCAGCTCATGAGGGGCAGGTGGGTCAGCACAGGCTTCTCCTCGCCGTTTGCTGAGAGGCCCCACGTGTACACGTGGCTGCTAGGCTCTGTTTTGGGGAGATCGTTTTTGTTTGCTTGCTTTTCAATTTTAATTTGAGCCCAGTTACCCTGCAGGAGCCCATCTTAGTAGATGTCTTCTTAGGCAGGGTTCACACTTTCTTGTTTGTTTCATATCTGCCTCACCCTCTTGGGAATGTAAGATCCACCAGGGCAGGGATTTTTGTCTGTGTGGTTCTCTACTGTAATCTCTGTGCTTAGATATTCACCCCCTTTTAATGGCGGTGACAACTGGCTTATACTCTTAAAATCTTGGGCCAGGACGCACATCTTCAAAACCTTCATCTCCTGACTCCCTTTAAATTATTGATCATTTGAATGCTGATTTTTAGAAATGCCCAACATGATCAATTTCCTCACGGTCTCTGTGCGGGGTGTTTTCCTGGAGGTGGGGAGGAGGGGATGCCTAACAGGCTCCCTGAGTGTAAGAAGCGGAGCCCTCAAATCAAGTCTGGTTTAGCAGATAGAGCATTAAACGACAGGTCCGTGCTTTCCAAGGCAGAGGCAGCGAACGGGGCTAGAACCAGAACGTTCTGCTAATGATTCTGTACTTTCTTCGAGTGAGACATTTTTGTCATTTCCAAGCCAAAAAAATCAATGCATTTTTTCAGGAATGGTTCAAGTTCAGGGTCTGGGGATGGGGGAGAGAGAATAGAAATCACCAGACTTCACCTTCAGATCCTTTGTGGAATGAGACAAGTTTATACAAAACCAAACCAGTAAGGAAATTTGGGTCTGCAAGGACGCCCTCGCCCCACTCCCTGCTGACCAAGAGCAAACACCCTTCTCCAGAGGCCCCTTCCTGGTCTCTCTGGCAGCTCTGGAAAGGGCTCTCTTTACACTAACTTTTACTTGGAACAGACCCTTTTGTCAACACGAAAGACTCTATTTGGGATAAACCTTCATGGAGGTCAGGTGATTGACCTGTGAGCATCAGGTCATGCTATGAGAGACACATGGGGGCGAGCAGAACATTCCCTCCGATGGAGAATGATACAAGTACACAGACCAGCCCTGCCCTGGCTTCTTTGGTGGCCAGGGGATTTGTGCCTCCCACAGAGGACTGCATTTCTGGGTACTGGGCGGCAGTACCACGCTTACGAAAGTGGGGTCATTGCTGTCCTCCGGGGCTGTCTGTAGTTCACCTGGGCAGGGATCACACTGCCAAGAGGGACTGCGGGAGCTGATAACCTGCCTTGTATAAGGGCTGTGAACAAGCAGAGAGGACACAGTGACTATACCATGGGTGGTCCTGGAGGGGGAGCGCTCATTTGAGGAATCAGCTCAAACTTCACCGGGCACAAAGCAGGAAGCGCCCTGGAGGGCAGGGGTGGCCAGGTTCGTGCATCCAGGCTTGCCCGGTAATGAATCGAGAAAGCAAGCGGCGTCTGGGCACGTAGGCCAAGGTGTCCACGTCCGCTGCAGCGATCACACCCACAGCAGCCCAGCCCTTATCACTAGGGGTCAACAGTTAGCGCTTTGGTGATGGAAGGGACTGGAGAAGCCCGTGAGTGGTCGGGAGGATCCCACCTCGGCTTGGGGGTGGTGGGGTCTGTGAGAGGTGACATCAGACACGCCCCCTCTTCTCAGCAACTCCCTGTCGTCCCCAGTTCCGTCCTAGAGGGACAGACAGTGGCTCTTGGCCGCCTGCCAAGGGAGGCCTGGGCCCGAGGGAGGGGAAGCGGCCGTGCGGGAGGTGGCTAAGGTCTCTGCAGATAGGCGCGCCGCCCTCTCCTTTAGACTCTGGCCGTGCGGGGACTGGGCGCCCTGCCTCCGCCTTATAAAGGGCCCAGCGCAGCCGGGGAGGCCAGGAGGCGGTGCCGGGCCGGCGGAGTTGGGGGCGCCACCTGTCGCGGGGCTGGGCCGGGCGCCGCCTCGCGCGCTGCGGGAACATGGGCCGCTACTCCGGCAAGACGTGTCGCCTGCTCTTCATGCTGGTGCTCACGGTCGTCTTCTTCGTGGCCGAGCTGGTGTCGGGCTACCTGGGCAACTCGATCGCGCTCCTGTCCGACTCCTTCAACATGCTGTCCGACCTGATCTCGCTGTGCGTGGGCCTGGTCACGGGCTACGTGGCGCGCCGCGCCCCGGGCGGCTGGCGGGCCAGCTACGGCTACGGGCGCGCCGAGGCGGTGGGCGCGCTGTGCAACGCCGTGTTCCTCGCCGCGCTCTGCTTCACCATCTTCGTGGAGGCCGTGCTGCGCCTGGCCCGGCCCGAGCGCGTGGACGACCCCGCGCTGGTGCTCATCGTGGGCGCCCTGGGGCTGGCGGTCAACGTGGTGGGGCTGCTCATCTTCCAGGACTACCGCGCCTGGCTCGCCTGCTGCCGCCGCCGCCGCCGCCGCCCGCAGCAGGTGGCCCAGGGCGGCACCGGCGGCGCGCTCGGGGGACCGCAGGGCGCCCCCCGCACGGGCCCTGGCGCCGACTCGGCCGTGACCCTGCGCGTGGCCTCGCTGGGAAAGACCTCGGAAAAGGGGGCGACCGTGTTCGCCAACGTAGCAGGTGCCTTTCGGGTGCATCCTCTGGACTGCCCGCCCCTCCCCCCGCTCGGAGCCCTCTCCCCTTGTCCCACGCCCTCCTTTCCTCTTTGCTTCAACAAATCCGGCTCCTCTGCAGTCCCCCTTTGACCCTCTTCTGCTAACTCAGCACGTTCCCCTCGATTTCTCTCTCCTGGATCCTCAGGCTGCTTTGCGTGTGTTCCCTCCCCCTATTCTTTCTGTACGGGAGTATTGATTTCTTTGGAAATCAGTTATTGGGCAAGAGATGCCACTCTGCGCTCCTCCCCTCCCCCCTTCTTCCGATGCTCTCTGCTTTTCTCCCCTCCCCCTTTGCCCATCCTTCTGTTCCCCTGGGAGTGACGGGTTTGGGGGTAGAGATGGGTCCCCCCCCCCACTTGTCTCTTTTTGTTATAATTGTAATGAAGTGTGCATGAAGTCCAAAGGTGTATCACAAGGCTTATTTCAAGGCCAGCACGGACTAGTCCTGGCTCTGTGCACGTGTGTGCACGTGTGTGTGTGTGTGTGTGTGTGTACAGGTGAGGGGACTGAAAAGCTAGGAGGAATTTGAAATAACAAACCTCTTTTTGAGACCATTGGTTCTTTTTGTTTGTAGAACTTATACACAACACAAGGTTTCTTCTTTGAATGCAGGTGATTTCTTGAACACGCCGCATGAGCCGGAAGAGATGATGAAAAAGGAGAAGAAATCGGAAGCCCTGAATATCAGAGGTAGGCTTGACTTGGGGTCGACTGGAAATCCTTTTCAGCAGTGCATGCGGATTGGGCTGTCCTCTTCGCTTTCTGTTTACCTTTGCATCAGGTGTGTTAGAAAGTAGGCAGGTTACAGGCATAGACTATGACCCTGTCTCTTGCCTCATCACTGGATTGATTCTGAGGGAGACGCTCATTGCGAATGACTGACCCTTGTTCATCAGACACACCCTGCTCCAGAGCCTCACAGATCAGTGGCCTGTTCTCATGTCACTTGAGTTGGCCCATCCGTGGGTATCACTAACCTGAAATGCAGCCTAGGTTAATTGAATACCACTTAGATAAAGGAGGGACGTGAGCAGGTGGGCAGCTGTGCAGGATGGCATTGCTGCCTGACCCTCCTCGCCTCAGTTATTTCTGCCAAAAATCTGCTGGATGGGTCTGTTGGCTCCCTTGAGTTGCCACTTCCAGGCCCAAAGAGGGGGTTCTGAGAAGGCACATCCCTCGCATCCCTCCCACCGAGGGCTCTAAGTTACAGCACTGGACACGGGCCGGCCCCGGGAGTTCAAAGGTGCCTTTCTCCCCAGGCACCCACACTGCACCCGACATCTTTCTCTTTCCCGACGTTTCAGGCACTGACTTTGCTTTGCTTTGGGTCAATCCCCACACTTGATGGTGAGAATTTCAACAAAGACCTGGCCACCCTTTATTTCAGATGGTTTGGGGAAGACTGTAGTGGGCTTAGATGGAAAATGATATCAAGAAAAATTAATAGCCCTGGCCGGTTTGGCTCAGTGGTTAGAGCGTCGGCCTGTGGTCCAGAGAGACCCGGGTTCGGTTCCCGCTAAGGGCGCGTACCTCGGTTGCAGTTTGTCCCCGGCCCTGGTCGGTCGTGCGGGTGGCAGCCACTCGATGTGTTCCTTTCACATCGATGTTTCTCCCTCTCTCTCTGTTCCTCTCTCTCCCTCCCACTCTACCTGAACAAAAAAAGAAAAAAAAAAGAAAAAGAAAAAGAAAAACTAATAATCCAGGAAACAGCGTTATTTTTGAGGGTCTCGCATCTGTTTTACAAAGCGATACCCAGATGGCACCTATAGGGGAAATCAGAAAATAACAGCAACACATGAGCTCCTAAACATTGTAAATGAATCTATTTTAGAAATCTAACAGCACCAGGGGGATTTGTTTTATATATATATTTAATTATTTAGTTTTTATTTTATTAAGTATAGGAATTATGAAGTTGACGAAGGGGACATTGTTAGAGTAGAACAGAATATATAGACATTTCTGAATAATGATGTCGTCTTATACCCATAGCATTAACCAATGGGGATTTGAAATGATGTATGACCTAGTGACCTGATTTTTGTTTTGTATGTGTGATGATCTGCTCTTCTCGGGAGCTGGGAATAATCCTCACCCTGAAGGTTACTGATGCACTTACTTCCAGATCCTGCATGGGGACTGTGGTCCCCAGATGACAATGACCATCCCTCTTCATCTTACATGAGAGGCCAGAAAGCACATGGCAATAGGGCCATATTCAGCCTCAATAATTTGGTGAAATGATGCTCTAAGCCAGTGGTTCTCAACCTTCCTAATGCCGTGACCCTTTAATACAGTTCCTCATGTTGTGGTGACCCCCAACCATAAAATTATTTTCATTGCTACTTCATAACTGTAATTTTGCTACTGTTATGTCTTAGGCGGCCCCTGTGAAAGGGTTGTTTGACCCCCAAAGGGTCGAGACCCACAGGTTGAGAACCAGTGCTCTAAGCAGTTTTTTTTTAACTGAATTCAGGTGTGTGATGTGAGCTGGTATTGATTTCTAGGGTCTTACAGGGCCCAAAAGCCTGACGTTCCCCACCCATGGAGAGCAATGCTTTGGCAGGTGAGAATTCTACCACTGAACCACCAATGCTGTGCTTTGGAAACTTACGTGCATGTCAATCACTCAGGGATCTTTTTATTTTTTTATTTATTTTTATTTTATTTAATTTTTTTATCCTCACCTGAGGACGTTTTTCCATTTTTTGCACAGATAGAGTGGGAGGGAGAGAGAGGAAGAGAGAGAGAGAGGGAAACATCGATGTGATGGGACACATCGAGTGGCTGCCACCCGCACGACCAACCAGGGCCAGGGACAAGCTGCAACCGAGGTACATGCCCTTAGCGGGAACCGAACCCTGGTCTCTCCGGACCACAGGCGGATGCTCTAACCGCTGAGCCAAACCGGCCAGGGCTCAGGGATCTTTTTAAAATGCAGGATTGGTTAGCATAATACTCTCGAGGTCCCTCCATGTTGTCTCAAAAAATAAGAGATCTTTCTTTTTTGCAGCTGCATAGTACTCCATTGTATATATGTACCACAGCTTTTTTTTTTTTTAATCAGAGAAAGACAAATACCACATGATCTCACTTATTTGTGGAATACAATGAACAAGGTGGGCTGATGAACGAAATAGACCCAGAGACACAGAAAGGAGTATGGTTCAAACCAACAAACCACAGAGTAGGGAGGTGGGGGGGATGGATGAGATGAACCAAAGAACTTATATGCATATATGCATAACCAATGGACATAGACAACAATGCTGGGGGGGATGGGATGGGGAGGAGGGAGTCTGGGGGGGGAAAGGAGAAACATCTATAACAAAAATAAATGACTAAAAATTGGAGAAAAATAAAATAAAATAAAATGCAGGATTGGTTTCAGTAGGTCAAGGGTGGGGCTTTAGATTCTGCATTTCTCCCAAGAGTCCAGGCTGGTCTGCAAACCATACTTTGAATAGCAAGGTTCTAATGTTGCTTTCTGTAAAAAATAATAACTGTTCATATTGTATCATCCTTCTGATAAGGTTTTCACCTAATCCATTAAGTCCCAGTTTGGTCGGTGTGCAACAAACAAGTGAATGACCGGTTCCTCTTTGCTATAACGATGGAAGCCTCTAGAAACCGGCCCCTTCATTAAAGATTTTTATTATCCATAGAATTCTAGTTTTATTTCATTGTGACAAATGGCTTTTTCTGCAGTGGGAACTGTACTGCTATCCCTGTTCCTGAGGACTTCTTAAACCAGATGTGGTTCCCCTGACCATGTGCTAAGTGAGGAGGAGGAAGGGCATGCAGGGGAAGGGGAAACAGATCCGGGTAGAGGGGAGACAAAGAATGAGAGATACATCTTAGTTCCCGCTCCTCTTAAACATGTTTAAAACGATGAAAGTACAGTCTGAAAGAAAAAGAAATCATTCACTCAACTTCTGTTTCCTGGCTTGATGCCCTCTGATGGGTGGCGGGTGGCATTGATATGACGTGGTGAACCGGCCCAGTCCCTCTTCCCCCGGGGGTCCGCAGGTCAGAATTGTCCCAGGCCAGTCCTCCCTCTACTTCTCAGGGGCCTGGGGTTCTGTTTTCTGCATAAGTTACCATTTAAAATTTTTTTGAATCCACCCTGCTGTCTCCCCACAAAGAAAACAAAAAGCGAAAGGTCTTCAGTCTTGGGACCCTGAGTCACAGAGGGTCACGTGGCTCCCCAAATTGGATCTGTGCATAGTGGTCTTGCTTTCTTCCCGGCAGGTGTGCTTTTGCATGTGATGGGAGACGCCCTGGGGTCAGTGGTGGTGGTGATCACTGCCATCATATTCTATGTGCAGCCCCTGGATGAAGACGACCTGTGTAACTGGCAGTGCTACATTGACCCCAGCTTGACCATCATCATGGTCATCATCATTTTGTCATCTGCCTTCCCGCTCATCAAGGAGACCGCTATCATTCTGTTGCAGATGGTCCCCAAAGGGGTCAACATGGAAGAGCTGAGTAAGTCAGAAGAGTCTGATCTAAAACTACTGCTGTCTTCCTGTTCTTCAAGCCAAGGGCCAGCATTATTGCAGAGCAGTACCCTGAAATACTTCCCATCAGCAGGCAGGGGAGACATCCGTTGTATGCTTTGTAGCTTAGCGAGATGAATCTCAGCTCCAACAGCCAGAGGTCCTTCGCAATCCATGATCCTTTGACCCACCCGCACGTGTTTTGAGACTGTGGTGCTCAGGCAACAGCTATTCCTGGGCTACCTACCTTCATGTCGAGGATTTATTTTCACTCAAATAAGGCCACTGTGCCCGGAACTCGATTTTTATTCTCCTTATTCTGAAACCATGGCTCACTTGTGTTCTAGGTCCTGCTTTCTAGTTAGTTGATTATTATGGGCATGCAAATCACCATGTCTCTTATAGCTGTACAAAGGACAGTGTTTAAAATTCAGGTCATTCACGACCTCATTCCATAATGAAATGTGTTTGGGGGGGGGCTTTGCTCGAATAGAAGGTCAAACTCTCACTTTAGTTAAGTGCCTCTGAAGGTAAAAAATTGAGAGACTTTGTGGAATTTCTGCGTGGGAACTAGCCAGACGTTGGTGAGAAACTGAATGTGCCACTTTATTTCTGGTGTTTCTAAATGGAGACCGTGTTTCTGTAGAAACACATTTTCATGCAGATTTGCAATTGTTTTCATCTACCTTTGAACCGTGAACATGGAATCGAGCCCTGGTCCACTATGAGGACATGCGACTGGGAGTTGGAAGAACTTATTTGATGACAAATACCTGAAATTAGATTTACAGTGTGTGGCCATTTAAACAGATGCTAACACACTGTATTGCCATTTAAATGGATGTCAACACACTGTGTTGCCATGGCTACACATTCCCCTGTGATGTACAGGGTGACCGTACTGTGAAGGTCGTTACCTCCACAGCCCTCTGTTCAGAAGCAGCATTGGTACCATCGGTCCAGTACGGCCATCAGCTGTGGTTCTTCCTGTGCTCTTTCTCCCGGATGTTCTTTTTGCTTTTCTTTGCCTCTTCTTTGGCAGCATTGGTTAGTTTACTGTCTCTGAGAGGCAATTAGGTATTGAAATAATCAGCCTGTATTTCCTGAACCTACTCTTAGTCCATTGCTATAGGCAGAGTGGGAGGAGACACGGAGGAGCAAGTATTTATTTATCATCTATCTGTCTGTCTATCTATCTATCTATCTATCTATCTATCTCTAGCTATCTATGGATATATATTTAAAAACAGGTATTTAAAAATAGTAATCACAATAGCACACTTTTATGAGACTTATTATATACCAGGTATTCTAAGTGCTTTACTTAAATCAACTCATTTCAATCCTTAAAATAATCCTGTGAAATACTATTTTTATCATTCTTCATTTATAGGTAAGGAAACTGAGACACAGAGGGGATAGGTACATTGACCAAAGTCACACAGGTAGGAAGTGACTAACCAGGGATTCAGACCCTAGCTGGCGACAGGGTCTCTGGCCACAAGGGCTGTTCAAGACCATCTCTCTACATACTAATTTAACATAGTATGGAAACGATAGAAGAGCCTAAATAAGAAAAGAGAAGTCTCTTCTAACATGACCACCCAGAAATGACCACTCTTAATATTTTTGCATCAATCATTCAATAAAACAAGCCTTTACCTGCCTAAAAATGTTTTGGTGTATATACACTGATGTCTTATTTTTTTAAAAAAGGGGAAAAAAAAAAAAGATCATGCCACACATACAGTTTAGCTATCTTCTTTTTTTTCATATCTTTAATTATGCAACTTAACTTTTCATGGGTATATCATATTCTATTATATAATTGTTTGAACTGTGTCCTCCTGTCTCCATTTTTTCATTTATACAAAGAGCATTTCAAACCATTCGTGTACACAAATATTTGGGTATTTCCCCTAGATTTAATCCATGATATAAGAATTGCTGGGAGAGGCTGTAGGTCCATATCCTTCCCTTTTCCCATTTTATTTTCCCACTGGCCCCCCATTCCTTTGTAAACTCAGCTACCCTGGGCATTTGTTGTTGTTAAACTTATTTTCTTGAATTGCCTTTTTTTTTATCCTCATTGGAGGACATTTTTTCAATTTTTTTTGTTCAGATAGAGTGGGAGGGAGTGGGAGGGAGAGAGAGGGAGAGAGAGAGAGAAACAACAACGTGAAAGGGACACATCGAGTGGCTGCCACCCACACGACCCAACCAGGGCTGGGGACAAACTGCAACCAAGGCACATGCCCTCAGCGGGAACTGAACCCGGGTCACTCGGGACTGCAGGCAAATGCTCTAATTGCTGAGCCAGACCGGCCAGGGCTTCTTGAATTGCCTTTTATGAGCTGACCATGTTTGGTAGAGGAATTCAGAGAGGAGAGAGATGATGGGGACATGCACTCCTATAGGTGAGGCTATTTTTCTTCCTGCTATTCTTAGTCAATACATCATTTTGGTGAGAATGCTTAAAGGGACCATACCCCCCGACCCCAAAGTAGTTCTGTGGTTTAATCCTCGCTCTCACCGGGCTGTCGCTTGCTGTTCCCTGTTCTAGTGAGTAAGCTTTCTGCCGTGCCGGACATCAGCAGTGTTCATGAAGTGCATGTCTGGGAACTGATAACTGGGAAGATCATTGCCACCCTGCACATCAAGTATCCGAAGGACAGGGGATATCAGGACGCCAGTAGAAAAATTCGAGAAATCTTCCACAAGGCGGGAATCCACAATGTGACCATGCAGTTCGAGAGCGTGGACTCGCAGGATTCCCTGGAGCAGAAAGACATGCTGTCACTCTGCAGCTCCCCTTGCATCTCCAAGGGCTGTGCCAGGTACCTGTGCTGTCCTCCCCGGGCACTGCCCCTGGCCCACGTCAACGGCTGCGCTGAGCACAACGGCGGTCCCCCTCTCGACGTAGACCGCAGCGAGGGCCTCGGTAGACCAGAAGTCTCGGAAGTGGCTATTGAAGTATCCTCGGATGGCTGTGTGAGTGACCGTGGACAAGCTTTTACCAGAACTCAGGAGGACCAGTGTTATGTCAACAGTACACATTTCTAATCCGGTACCCGCATCAGCAGACTATACGGACGAGGCACTTTGGACCCACCAGCTTGGCTTGTGGAAAGAGCTTCGTGGGCTGGGGGCACTGACCAAACCCATGGCGTACACTCTCTGTGGTCAGCGAGGGGGTGGCTCTTTGGGATGGTAATCGACCGCGTCTGTTAATTTTTATGGGACTGATAAGATAACCTGGTGCATGATCCTGGGCGTCTCTTGCTGCTCTTCAAGCTCCAGTTTGCTCAGCTGTTTTCGGAAGCAAACTGCACTTGTGTATATACATCAGGGACATTGGAGGCTGGGACTCAGTGACTGTGGACACGGGACGGGAGCTAGTTTTTGTTGTACACTGATCAGAACTGCTAGCTGACTCTCAGGTGAGCTCATTGCCAAGTACAGTGCAGACATTGAAGAACCATCACGGCTATTTTTTCCCTCATTCCACGGAAGATTATAACAGGAAAAATAGTCTTGTCACTGCAGCAGTTTTTTCTTTGACTTATTTTTGAATAAATGTCAAATGGATACCTATTAAGGTAGAGAACGCTCTCGAAACACCTAGAGGAAGTAGAGTTCATGGGGGGGAGGGTAGGAAGAAAATGCTTTTGGCCCATTTCATTTTGTGAAGTGGAAATCGGATAAACGCCTTCTGCTGTGAACTGGGTGTTTCAAATGTTTAAAGAGACAAAACATGTTTCTTTTTCACTTGGAAATATAGGCATATTTCTACTTCCTTACGTATAACACTTATATACTGTCTTCGAGTCAATCCATTGGGACTGTTTTCATTTATTGCTTAATAATGACTTACTTATATGTCCAAATTTCCTTTGAGTCTTTTTTTTTTTTTAATTTTTTTATAGGATCACATTAATCTACATTGCATTTACCAGGAGAAAATGAGCATTTCTGGGATACAAGAGTATATGACATTGAGTACTCATTCCTGCCCCCAAATTTATTTAGACATATTTAAAATATTTATTACAGTTGCCAACTAGTAACTTAATGGAAAAGTACATGTCCAAGGGGGAATGAGAAGGACTGTCGTTGCTGACTTTAATGTATTTTGAGGAGCTTACATGTTTATATCTCTGACCCATGTTCCCCAATTCAAATGCATGTGTTAGAATCTGATTCGGATCCATAACCATAACTGATCCCTATTATAGTGGAGAAGCATTTAGCAAATAGTTCAGGCAGCAAGACTTTAATCAGAACAGTCTCAAAACAGGTTTGAGAGAATGGCAGGTACCTCACAAGAGAACTGGAATCTTCTTTGATGGGTTGACAAGTAGACTGGAAACGGTCCCCTCTTGGACCCTCAGCATTGGGTCCTGCACAGTTTTCATCCGAATTGCTGGGTTGGTACCAGAAGAAGTGTTCACATTTCCCAGAACAAACACCGTTAAAAAAATGTGTCTTAGTCTTAAATTCTAAGGCTAAAATAAGTAAACTACTGTCATCCGTGGGATAAGAAGATTTTTATTCCTTGAAAAATCTATTATCTGAGTTTAAATTGGCCGTGAGCGAGGTAAATAGAAAAACACCTATTATATGTTTTGTCCCTGTGAATTTATTGGACTAGGCTATATATGCTTATTGCTAAAAAATGAGGGGGGGGGGGAATATACACCACCATTTTATTTTTAATATTAAAAGTATGGCATTTACTCACACAAAACAGGGCACTCTTTATGAAACTCATCACGGTGATGTGCGGACCAAATTCTCCTAGAAAAAGGTTGCTTGAAGTGCCCTCTGGGGCCAAAGAAGAAACTTGTCTCTTACTTCTGAATGTGGAGGTCTGATTTGCTTTCATGTTACTGTGCTTTTATTAAAAGGGAACAATGATCATTTATCATTTGTGTGCCACTGGCTACAGGAACGTATAGTGGTTGACATCTACAGTGCTTTTCTGGGAAGGGACAGGCACGTCCTTCCGATGTAACGAAATCCAACCTCAGAAAAGTATCTGGATGGACTCGTAGGAACGTATCAAGTGGCGGAGCAGAGCCCATGGGAAATAGTACCGTTTTAAGACATGTTGACTGCGTGCATTTACTAACATCCCAACCAGCTGAGCAGGTGCAGTGTTTTTGGCTTCCCTTGCCATCTCTGGCCCTGAGATGCCTGCTGTGGGCACTGTCGCCCGCGTGTCCCTAGCCCTTCGGTTGTCCTGCACGTTACCTCTCTCTCCCCTTGAGTTGGCCCTGCTTTGCAGCAATAGCTGCTGATCAACAGTGGATTTATAAACAACTCTGTTTTTCTCTGAGATTAAAAAAAAATACTGTCACTCAGTGTAGTGATCCTATATGCTTAGGTTAACTCCAGAAAATTTTGTCTTTTCTCTTTTTTTTTTTTTTAGAACTGAATATAGTTGTTAAAAGGTGCCAGGCACCACCGGGACATCCCGTCGGCCTGCGTGCCATCCTGGAGGACCCCGGTGGCACTGAGCATGGCTCCTCTGTCCCCTTTTCCCCAAAAGAGTCCTTTCCACGTATTTCAGCACCGCTGCAGGAAGGACTATATCCATTTTTATGTTCTAACTTTGCATTTGTCTTCGAAAACAGAGGTTATTTATTTATTTTTTCCATGATCATTGGCCATTATGAATATCCATAGGGCAACCAGGCTCCATTGTGGATGGAAAACATGTATTATTCCTCTAATTGTTTGATAAAATATCAATAAAACAGGGAAACATTGTTTGCAGAAGCATTCAAAATAGTCTCGGTATTTGGTTACTTTTTGGCCCCCAGTGAACTGACCTCTGGTGGGGTCCACGAGGAGCTTCAGCAGGAACGGGTGCCTTGGACGTGACGCTGGCTGAGTAGGTTGTGGGCTGACACGGCAGCTGCCCCGGGAGGTGATAAGAGCTTTGCCATGCTGTCTCATCGCGGCCTTACTGACGCTTTAGACGGGACAATTCCTTGTGGTGGGCAGCTGTCTCGTGCACTGTAGGGTCTTAGCAGCATCCCTGGCCAGCACCCATGAGATGCCAATAGCAACCCCCAAGTTGTGACAACCTTGAATGTCTCCGGGTATTGCAACACGTCCCCCCCACCCCCAGGGGAGGGGCAGGGGTAAAATGTCCCTAGTTCTGAACTGCTTGAAGGACATTCTTGACGAAAGACCCACTAAAGCCCAATAACCCTTTTGATATAATTAATTCTGCGGCATTCGCTTTTTTTAAAAAACATTTTAAAAGATAAGATCAAACTATTGATCAACATTATCATTTTTTAATTTATCCTCACCCGAGGACATTTTTCCATTTTTTGTTCAGATAGAGTGGGAGGAAGAGAGAGAGAGAGAGACATTGATGTGAAAGGGACACATCGAGTGGCTGTCACCCGCATGACCCAACGAGGGCTGGGGACAAACTGCAACCGAGGTACATGCCCTTAGTGGAAACCGAACCCGGGTCTCTCCGGACCGCAGTTTGATGCTTTAACTGCTGAGCCAAACCGACCAGGGCTCAACATTATAATTTATAAAACTTATAATCATGTCCTTTCTAGGTAAGAACTTTTGATATTTAAAGAAAAAAATATGGTTTGTAAAAAACTCCCTTATAAATCGATGATATAGATCGGACCTTATACCGCTGAATGAAATGAGAAAAAAGCATTTGCCCCCGCAGTTCTGTGATGCTCTCTTCAACTGGTGAATGTTCTCAGCATAATGAACCCGCTGCAAAGTGGAACTGGATGATATCAGACCAATCGATCCTTAGGGGTAAGGTGCCTAATTCTCCACCAATTTTAAAATTAATGGTGTTTTCTTGTTATTGGTCCCTGACAAGCAGCGACAAATTCAGATGTCAACGAAAAGTATTTATCTTTTATTGCCAACTTAACACTTTGCCAAATCATATCCATTCCCTCCCTCCCCCAAGAGGACAAAATGCATTTTCTGCTTTGAAATGATCCTCCTTTTAAAGGTCTCTCCACACTTTTGCGATTGAAGGCGGAAAGAAAGACCCCTGTGAAGAACAGAAGGAACGACAGCCTGATTTGTGTTCCGGATTTAGACCGAGTACTGATCACTGACTGATCGCCCGTTCCGTGGCCATCCTGTACCTGACACATTGTCACCCAGTTATGCTTCTGAGTATATTTGCACGTGAGTAGCCCCAGGAACGAAGTAGGAATGAAATTATGGAATCAGGAGATCCGCTGCTCACATGGAACTTGCCTCATGGAATCTACATGTTCTTATGAATCGGAGTTTAGCTAATGCCGATGTAGCCTTCTCTGGAGTTTCTCTTTTCAGGTGTTTTATTCTGGACCTTTTGTTTACATGGAACTTTCTCGAATGTGGCTAGATGGACCAGCTGTCTCCTTCTGGTACAAGGTCAGGGCGGAGACTCGGAACCTGCTTTGGGTTCTAATGAGGATAATCCAGCAAGGACGGTGATTTCCAGGGGACAGTGACCCCTTCCGGGAGGTCTGACGTTACCTTACAGTATTGTGGAGTTTTGTTGCTTAAAGTCTTCCTTCTGTCCTCACAGGTGATTTTTGCCAAAATGCAATTGTCACATTTGGGGGGAATTATTAAAACTCTAAGATATAAAGTGGAAATAACTCAGTGCTAATTGTTCGTGAAGTCTCCCCGTAATATCTGAACACAAGCATAACTTTAACAGGGAAAGATGTTCAATGGTGCTGTCAATAAACATTTTGAAAAGTACACACATGGCTGAGACGTTTGTGGAAATTCAATAGATGGCTCAAGTCAATTTATTACTCAGTAACCCTTCAGGTCGGTTTTAATACGTGGGGGCTCATTCTCTGTCTCTGTTTGGCTGTTCTTGTCACACCCCTTCCGCCACTCTCCACCACCTGCAGCCACAAGGCCCCTCTTGGCAGAAATGTCACCACTCGACCCAGTGGCTTTACTTACCGTAACCTGGACTGACCTGGTTTCCTAGTGGGACCGTCTGGCCCTGGGTTACCCAATAAAGTTTGATGGGAGGGGAGATCCCGGGATTTAGGGAACGGTAGAGAGGCTGGGCTT